AGATTTAGAAATTAATTATGTATCAATAAAACTCATACTCAATTAATAAAATCATGAGAAAAGCCTCACTTTAACAAAAAAAAAAAATAATAATAAATAATATATAATATATAAAAAAAAAAAACTCTTTTCCATATATAACTTTTTTCTTAAAAATTACTTTTTATAATAATTTTTCTTCAAAATTAAAGAAACAAATATTTTTTTCACCTTTCAATATCTAAAAGTCCTTTACACTTTTTTTTTTTACTACAAGAGCCTCAAGGAAATTAAAAAAATATACTGGTACATTGGAATGGAACCTCTGACCAGAGAAAAGCAAGTTTGAGGACCTTGTTTTTTCTTTGGATTGCATGAAAAAAGACCTGTGACTGTTACATCTTTATAAATCTTTCTTGAAATTCTTTTTATTTTATTTTCTTTTCAATACACAAATCTTTTTAAATAATTATACTTTTTGCTTGGAGAACTTCCTTTTTTCTCAAAAAACAAAACTTCACATCAAAATTGTTTATATTGTTGACTTGGAGCACCAACAATATATTCAATGTTCACTTTTTACTATTGCCCAATATATTTTGTTGCACTATCAAAAACCAAAAAATCTTACTTAAAAAATTTCGTACCAAAAAACCACAATCAGTTTACTCCTGTCAATTGATCAACATTCCAAACTTAACCAATCAAACATTACTAATTTTCCAAACAAATCTGTACAATCAAAATACTATATTTTGATTAACATAAACAAAATCTTTCATAGTAATAACAACCAAAACAAAATTCCATTACCAACAAACAAACCAATCACAAATCATATCACTATAACAACAATATCATCACTACAACTAATAATCTATCAAAAAGATATACTATTAACACTATTGTACATTTTGAACAGTAGCCTGACCATTTCTGGAAGTGTAACAGTACTTCAATTAAATGAAACTATTAGTATAGCATGTCTAGCAATTTTATTCGAAACATTTATAGCTTTACAATTAATATTGTTGCACTTATTTTTTTTGTTTTTTTTTAATATTTTGTTTTTTTTTTAATTTTCAATTTCTTATAGTTTCACATATAAACCTGAGTAAGTATTTATAGCTGCTCAATACTATTTAGAATGTACATTGGTTTTAATATTTATTTTTCATGTCACTTAGATAGTTTCTGTAAGCAAGCTAGCATTAAACTTATTAGCTTAGCAAGTTATATAAAAGATGTTGTCGCTTTCTCTATGTATAAATTTTAAACAATTTTATGATTAATAAAGTGATGATGTTTACCTATTTATAAAAAAAAAGAAAATAATAAATAATATAATATAATAATAATAATATATAAGTCATAATTACAAAAAAAAAACTCTCTTCTGATCATGTTTACTTTGCTAAAAAATTTTCTTTTATGTTAATTTTTGTCAAGAAAAAATGTTTTACACTTTTTATCGCAAGTGAGTTTCAGCTCAAGAACTCAAGAACTTTCAAAACAACTGGTACAGTGGGATGAAACCTCTGATCAAAGTTTACTCAAGTTTGGGAGTCTTGCTTATCTTTCGGTTGCATGAGGAAAGGCCTGTAGCAGTTCTCTTTTTTTTTGTTCTCTTGCACCTCTCTTTTCACCTATTATAATATAAAAACTATTTACATCAATACCATTATACACGCTAAGTCAAATACTTTCCAAAAAACATACTCAAGCAGAGTTATTGGGTCTACTGTTTGTTTTAATACAATCTTTACATACAACCTTATCATAGTGACAACTATTGTACCATTTTAAAATTTCCAAAACTTTTTGTTCAAAAAACCAAAATCAGTTTATCCCCTCTAAATAATCGTTACTCTCCAATTATCCAATCAGATTTTATTAAAACAACAAAGAAAAAACCGAACCTGTTCAAACTGGTTTTCCAGCACAACAACAACAACAACAATAATAATAACAACTATAACAACAAACAATTTCATATGTACTTATCTATTTATGGTAACTAAAGAGTTAGAGAGATGGGACCACGCACCTGTCCAGAGGCTTTTTTGGAAAAATAATTGGATTTCTACTTATAGTCCATTTGATTTAGTTTTGGTTTTAGTCACTGTTGTTATTTTCTTTTCATTTATTTTATATTCAAAAAATCAAAAGATTTTACAAAATTTTATCAAGTAGATAGGCATAGCCATTACTCTGTTATTTAACATTTTAATATTGCTTTTGAAATTTTTTTACAATATTAGTTAGATAGTGATCAAGTAGGCAAGCTAGCATTTAACTTGTTGTATACAATATGTATCCAAGAAATGTTGTTTCTTTCTCAATGTATACCTACAATATACAATAACAAATAAAAAAATGATGTTTACCTACTGGGAAAAACCCCCCAAAATATATATATATATAAGTCATAATCACATGATATGGTGATATTAAATTTTTACTCTTAAATATAATAAATAATATATTTCTGTATATATTCAATACAATATATTAAAAAATTTTAACAAAAAATTTTCTTTTTATTAAACCCCTCTATTAATTAATTTCAGATTTTTTTATTGTAAACATTAATGCTTGTAAACAAACGATAAAAATAAACATCCGTCTCATTTTTTTCACAAAAAACTTTAATCGGCGTTGAAATTTGGAATTTGAAAAATAAAAAATATAAGTGCAATGTATAATTCAAGAAATTCTCGTAACAATTTGTTAATGTATTTTCAGCCCGACAATTAAGAACAATTTTCAAAATTATCTCCGTCGTTGATAATCGATTTACATTTAAAATAACTAAACGTAATCATGTATTTTAAATTGGATGAAACATTGAAGATTGATAACTAGGGTCACGCTAATTGACTGAGTTGGAAAAAATTAAACTTAAGTAAATATAACGTGAATAAATGAATAATGGTATTAATCCAAAGTATTTTCATTAAAGGCAGGGGAAATATTGCCATTCGTATAAGTAGTCTGACCACCAGCAGCTTTAGTAAATTTATTTTTGACATCCCAAATTGCATTTGTAGCACGACCAGTAATATCTTGTCCCTTTGACAGGCCTTCGTTGAAAATTTCATGGGCTGTGTTTAAAGGTGGCTTGATATAAGAATCCGTGAATGGACCAAGGTATTCTTTAGCTTTAATGGCCACATGACTGTTCTCGCGTAGTTGAGAGGTTGCATGATTTGCAGATGCAAGAAAAGATCCAGCTTGCGT